AACCATGAATTCTGCTCTCGACCAGAAAATCCTGAAGGAGTAGGTTTGGCCATCAGTTCGTGACCTCAAGTTGAGGCGCACTTGGGTTCTGCAGCAAGTCGACTTGTGAATGGCTTAAAAAACAACTAAATGAAGGTCTTGGAGTGGTCTAGTCAAAGTCCAGACTTGAATCCGGCCGTTCATGCTCAATAACCCTCCAGTGTTGCTGAATTAAAACAAGTGTGCAAAGAAGAGTGGGCCAAAATATCTCCACAGATGTGAAAGACTCATTGTCAGTCATAGAAAATGCTTGATATCAGTTGCTGAGGGTGGCCCAACCAGTTATTAGGTTTAGGGGGCAATTACTTTTTCCACACACAGCCTGGGAGCTTTGAATATTGTTTTTCCCTTATTAAATAAAATCATCATTTAAAAACTGTATTTTGTATTTTTGAATTTTTTCTTGCATGTCCAAAAAAACTGTCTTCATGGCTGTGCATAATTAACACAGAGTCATCTCACAATCAAACACTGCCTCTTACATCTAAAGACTTTTCCCCCTTTTTTGGACAGTTTTAGTTTCAGACAGACATGAACTGTGGGAAATGCGAGCCGGGGACCGACATGCAGCAATGGTCTGGCCGGCTGGGACTTGAATCGGGGACTCGGCTGCTGAGGGCATTTTTAAACATGTGGTATGTGCCCTGACCACTCAGGATTTGGTTCGCCCCTTAGGTTTAAAGGCATTTCAAGTATTTCAAGGTTTACTTTTTGTTTTTATTTTATTGTAATTTCGACTAGTTGATGTTGCATGTTTTTTTTTAAAGCAAAATATTGAGACAGTAAGTCTAAGTGTTTTAGTTATCATAAATAACTCCTTATCCTTAACATTCTAAACATGCCACTGTCCCCCCTTGACGCTAGTGTTTTTAGTAATTTTGTTTTTAAGATGAGGACTTCAAAGAGTTATAAAAAAAATTGTCGTCATTACACCGAGACCGCCCTCTTTAGAATCACTGATCCCTGACGGCTGTCCTCAAATGTAGGTCTTTACTCTCTTTTGATTCTCCTCAGTCTTGTATCAGTGACGTGGCTCTATAATGGATGGTTTGTTTCTTACTTCTCAAATAGATCCTTCTCAGTAGAAATTGGTGGGGTATCTTTCTAAATAGCCCCACTCACCTGCGGAGTTCCACAGGGATCCTGTCTGGGTCCTTCATCATTTTTACTTGCACCCATTGCTTCACTTAAGTAGGTAGTAACGATCTTCTCTACTAATGAAAGAGACAGACGTAATTCGCCAGTCGGTGCTCAGCAGGTGAGGCCTGCCTGTACTTCGTTCTGGAGGAGCTTACTGGACTCATAAAAACCACTGATAAGCAAGCAATATGTGCTTCTTTATTACTTCCCAGAATCTCATAGAACAGATCAGCATGTTGGTCAAGTCAGTGTCAGTAGCATGCGACGCTTCCAGAGTAAAAATGTGTTGAAACAACTCCGACTGACTGATGGCCAGAAAACATGTTAACACCTGCATCACACCTGCGAGATGGAATCAGAGATGCCTTCACGAAATATTCTGCTCCTACAACTGTAGTAACATTAAATTTGACAGAAAGATGAGCTAAATGTAAGACTCACGTAGTCCTGTTATTGATTAAACAGAAGTTGTTTTATGACATTCATTATCATTTGCCATTCCTGTTAATGATTAAAAACAAAGCTATGCTGTCCAGATTTGTATTAAGGTTCCTGCCATGCTCATTTAGAGATCTGAGGAGAAGCTAATCCTGTAGTCCTCATTTTACCATTTTCAGTGTGTAGGTTGCTGCTTGAAGGTTGTAGTTGTTTCCTGTAGCCAGGGTAATTTTGAAAAATATAAAGTTGACCGAACTAAGCAGACAATGGCAGGCTTATATCCTCATAACCCAAAGCTTTACTCAGTGCCAAGCAGATCAGCTCTTACAGTCACCCTGCAGCCTCTGCAGGTTAGTCTTAGACTAGCCATAATAAAAGGCCACTGTAAAATGGTTTATCAGTGTATCAGTTGTATCACACAGCACAATGCCACAGATGTTACATCACACAGGGCAGGGCAGACAGCATGTATGGCGTTGTGTGGATGAGCGGTTTGCTGATGTCAATGTTGTGAATCGAGTGGCCCATGGTGGTGGGGTTATGGTATGGGCAGGCATATGTTATGGACAACGAACACGGGTGCATTTTATTGACGGCATTTTGAATGTACAGAGATACCGTGACCAGATCCTGAGGTCCATTGCTGTGCCATTCAGCCACGACCATCATCTCATGTTGCAGCATGATAATGCACGGCACCATGTTGCAAGGATCTGTACACAATTCCTGGAAGCTG